GGTCCCCTGTGACCAAAGCAGTTTTAGCTGTTAACAGTGAAAGTAGGCATATTACAAAATTTTTCTCAGTAAATGAAACAAATACTTCATTGTGGATGTTTCTGTGGTTGCATGCAAGGTTATTTTTTCTTTAAAACTATTTGTGACCATTTAGTAAATAAACATGGTAAGTAAATCTACCTGACGCTACTAAAAGGACACATATTTCTGGCTTTTAAAATGCAATAATCAGTCTTTAAGTAATAAGATGTCTGTTAGATTAATAAATTTCCCAGAGTTAGATTCTTTCTCCTTCAACAAGAGCTCGTTAATTTCATAACTTCATTAATTATATTATGCTTAACATTTGATTAAATAATATGAAATGCTTTTCTCCTGCAGATGTGGACAAAGTACAAGAAAGCAGAAATTCAAAAAGCAGGTCTAGGGAGCAGCAAAGCTCCTAATTCTATTACCCACTACATGCCATGTGGGCCAAGTGGTGAGTTTCTTGCTTAAAATGTAAATGAGATTAGTCTCATTTATACAAACTAACCATGTTACTTATAAGAACAAGTGCACATTGCATTAACAGATGTAAATATTGCTTGCTTATTTCATGATTTTCTGTCCTACTTACTAGTCAAGCAAGATTTATTGATTGCTGTAAGTTTTTGCCTGTCAGTGCAGGAAACAAACCTTTAAATAGTTTTCTTTTTTTCTTAATTTAAATTTAATTTTACTCGTGAATAATGTTTTAGGAATTCCTTTTTTAATTTGAAGCCTTTTTTTTTTTTTGGTAGGAATACAACTTTCCCACAGTGTTTTTGATAATTGAGAATAAACAATAAATTAAATACCTTTCGTATGAAGAGCCACTTGAAGAAAAATTGTCTCTGGCTTTCTGTCACTCTCCTTCCTGTAGAAGACTTATCTGGTGCATGTTGTTCTTATAGTGGCTGCTCTGATTTTTATAGATCTCTCTTATCTTCAAGCTTTTCTTATATTTTCTTTCTTCTTTCTACCTTCCAACTAAATACAGAGAGAAAAGTGTCCTTCAGTTTCTCAGTGTGAAGCCTTTATTTCTGAAGTAACAAGACACCCAACTATAGGAATCATTTTAAAAATCTTTAAGGAGACTTTAAACAATCCTTCGTGACTAGAGCAGGCAAGAAATAAAAAACCTTCATTCCTTCCTTGAATCAAGGAGCACTACTGGAGTCAACTGCCAAAATTTTTAGAAGGTTTTAGGACTTACTATACATTGTATTGATAAGATCTACTGAATAAAGGATGTTCTCTCACTAAGGACCAAGTGTTTTAAGGTTCCAAGAAGTACTCCAAGAACAATCTACTTCTTTCGTCATTTGTTTATGAATTTATCCATGTTTGCTTAATGCTTCTGCTAAGTATTAGCCAAAATCTAGCCATTTATATTTAGTTGTGTAAATCTAAATTAAATGCTGTAGTATGTTGTGGAATGTACTATATATCAAGATACAGAGAACATTGTTTTGGCATGTCAGAGCCCTACTTGGTTAGCAGACTGCATGTGTTGGTATCCTTTCTTTTTTTTTTAACCAATTATTTTGATGCGCTGCAAAAGAAATTCAGTTTATAAAGATAAATCTGAAAAATAGGAGCTATAAAAATTTACAGTAATATTAATCTTTCTGTATTACCCTTTAAGCAACACTAAGCATTCATACGTGGATCCAAGGTAATTACAAAGTGTTTTTCTGAAACTTTTTTAGTAAGGTGGTTTTCCAGCAAATTGCATTCCCAAGATAATGCTGTTGTGTTTTAAATTCATTTCCCTTCTTTAGTATTGGGTTATGTATGTGTGTTTGTTTTTTTAACATGAGAGCTGACTGTTGCTTAAGAAGTTTTCTTATGGCAAAAAAAAAAAATGTAAATAATTTACTATGATCTACATTTTGCCAGGAACTCATTTATTTTTAAGGTTATCACATAATAATAAGAACTTTTCTGTTTTTGTCCTTTATAATAATACATTAAAGTTGGTAACTGTTATTGGTACTTTTGAAATATTTGTATGCATTTGTTACCTTAAACATTTGAAAGAAGCACAAAAAAAGTAGATTTAGTTAACCCAGGGAAACATCCGTTTTTTGTAGCTCCAATTTTATATCACAGTTTTATTTTCTTATGAAATCAAAAATGCATTGATACTTATTAATGCAAATTCATTATTTAACATAAATATCAGCTAATCTTAAAGGTCTGAAATGAGAAAGATAATGACTTTTTTATTTTAACAGTATACTTCTTAGGCTCTCATTACCAGCTCTAAAAAATCTTTCTGGAATAATTCCATATTCATAGTGTGGTTTAGGAACTATGTGTTTCATCACTAACGTAGTAGCCATGAGAACTGTATGTGTCTCTCCCTTCCCAACCTTCCCTCCCCCTCTTTTTGGTAGGCCAGTTAGCAGTATTGTGTTCATAGTCTACTTTCAGAAAGACTTAATGAAAAGAAAGACAGCATGTATAGTTGACCAGAAATTAAAAAGGAATTTAGAGAACTTGGACTTACTTAATGCCACCATTAACTTGGGTTTTGCCACCAAATAATGCTGTAAAATTAAATCACTTTTAAACTCTTGGATGAAAGGTGCTATGTAAATGTAAATACAAAGGATTCTTACTAAAATACAACTATTGCACAACAGACTTATTTAAAACTTATTCTCTAGACTTTGAAACATCTCTCTCCATCATGACTCCCTAGATTCAAGAATCAAACTGATAATGGGCATCATGGCAGTCTAGAGATACTTGCATGTAAAAAATGTAAATTCATTTTTAGGTGGATAAATGGAAAGTAAATATAGAAGTTATGTTTTAGCTAAATACAGTAAGTGGGTAACTTAGATTTATATTAACTAGCATCTAATTTGCACAACTAGGACACATCCCAGGACAATTACTGAAAGTTGGAATTTAATGAGTAGGAAGTGGCCCGGTGAGGGTGAATCATACCATAGCTTGACCTCTCCAGAACACTAATGTCCTAAAATAGAGAACCTATTGACTTAAGCAGCACATTATTGCTTCACATCGAACATGCTCAGGGGCAGCCTATATAGTACTGGGTCTGATGAGGCTGACCCTGAGAAAGTGCAGTTAGAGACAACCAAGGGGGAACACTTAAGACTGCAAAAGTAGGAATATTCTCAATTATATTCATTACCTTTTTCATACCATTTCAAGAAAGGACTAGGTAATAACCTCATGAATATTTTACTTTCTCCAAAAGATTCAGAAGCAAATTTAGTAGGAAGTCACTCCTTTCCCTTAGATAAACTGCTTCTGCCAAACAACGTAGTATGGCTACCTAGAAACTTACTGGGGCCACTTTCCTGACTGGGGCCTGACATGCTTTTATCTGGCTATCTTCTAAATCAACAGCTAACCCCGCTCCCAAGAAACTGAAGATTTAATATACAGGGTAATAAGCTTCCACAAAGAACTCCAATAAAGTGCTTCAGATCTGGCCATGTGGAAAGGTTTGGTCCACGTTTTTAAACTGGTGGTTACCAAAGAGTTCATGTAACAGGTTTGTATGTAGCACCTTTCATGCAAGGCATGGTAAGAGCCTATTAAAAAATCACTGTGCGTATTACAGAATTGCAACCACCTCACAAATGAAGTATTACAGCCTGCACTGTCTTAACAGTTTATGTCAGGAAGTGAAAAAGATGCTGTACCAAATCTGGAATTACAATGAGGAGTAATAATGTATGCTAAATGACTTTGTATTTTAAGTTACATTTATGAGGAAAGTGAGTTTTTGTGTTTTTCTTTTCTGCTACACTTCGTCCTGAGATGTATTTTTTCTTTAAGCCTTGAATGAGTAATACAAAAGGAGCCCATTTTGTGATATAAACCTTGATGTACATGTTGAGATATTTGGACAATGAAAATGCCTTAAAAGGAATGCTTATGGATAAAGTTGCACTTATAACACCCTTTAACAAAACCTGATTTTAAACTGTCTTTTTCTTTTCTACTAAGGGTTCTCTTTCAATGTTTGCCATTGTACTTATAATTGTTATTAAATACCAAATCAAATAATATAAAAGCTGTAACATTTCCTTTAAAAGTAATACTACTGAGGGATTTGGAGTTGAATGGCAATGATTATTACTTGGTAATACCCATTATCAGCCACAGGAAGCCAGTTTGTAACAAACCATCATTGGTTGGATTTATGTTTTTAAAAACATTTCATTATTTTTCATTTTAGACTTTATTACTCCTTAAAAAATTAAGTTGGTTTAACATTCACTTAAACTGATCTAAAAATAAAACAGAGGTGATTTTTATAACAAGTGGTTAATAATCATTTTAAAAATTATAACATATAATTTAGCTAAGTATTATCTTTCTTTTCCCTTTGCCCTGGAAAACCTTTTTTCAGACATAACCCATAATCTTGTTTAGATGATTCTAGATCTTTTAGGGATGAGTATTGGAGGTTTGGGAAAAGAATGGAATCTTACCAGTTGTCAATCCTCACATAGGTTTAAATACAGTAATATATTGCACAAAGCAGTGTCTTTCATTTTCATTTATTGATTTTGGGAAGGCAGAATGTTAGAGAGGCAACCAGTTGTGTATTCTGGGGCAGGTTAGTCTTTCTGAGCCTGTTTTCACTATAAGATGGGAAGGGCATTATCTACTGTCCTCAGTCTTTGGTTTCTATTCATTAAACCTTTATGTGCAAAGCAGTCTAAAATTTCCTCTTAGAGATGTAGTAAACAGCAGGTAAAAGGTAACATGGCACCTTAGAATAAGGTATCATTTATGGAAATATTTACTAACTCCACATCTCTTAAAGTCATTTTTTTTTTTTTTTAAGATTTTATTTATTTGACAGAGAGACACAGCGAGAGAGCGAACACAAGCAGGGGGAGTGGGAGAGGGAAAAGCAGACTTCCCTCTGAGCAGGGAGTCTGATGTGATGCCAGGCTCTATCCCAGGACTCTGGGACCATGACCTGAGCTGAAGGCAGACGCTTAACTAAGCCACCCAGGTGCCCTTAAAGTCACTCTTTATAGAAATTCTGCCATGAGTAGACTTGCAGTTTCTAATCCTATATACCAAGAAATGACATTTTTACTTATTTTGCCTCTTAGCAACAATCTGGTTACACTATCACTACCAGGTGGAAGTTACTTTTGAGTGGCCAAACTTTACTAAGTTTTTTACTAACTATGGGTACGTCATGACTATCCCATTTGATTGCACCAGAGGCAAATATGAGAATTTTCATGACAAGAACTCTAGACTACTTCTGTAATATAGTCCAACCCAGACCTTCAACTAATGAAGGTTTTAATTTAAGCAAAAAAGTGTTTCTCACTCCACAATTTTGAACTAGCTTATATAGAACTGACAATACATAATAATGAGTTCTTACACTGTTTCAGATGCCCTAACTGAAGGGGGGATGAGTAAAATTTAATATAACGTACAGGACACAAAAAAATTTTCCAAGTATATTCACATTTCTAACCTCTCAGAAAGATTAAACAAATCTTTCCCTAATCCTCATTCCCCAGAGATAACCACTATCAACAATTTAATGTATTTCTATGTTCCTTTTTCTCTGTATGTACAATATATGTGTAATTTTATATATGCTGGTTTTTTGCAAGTTGTGTTTTTCAAGTAAACACCCTAAAGAAGATGTAAGATAGTTAATCTTAACTAGCCTTAGTTTTATCGTTAATATACTCTCAATTGTTGAAGGCATTCCTGTAATGAGTAGTGCTCATGGGGGATAGAAGTGGACCCTCTGAACTGACTAAAACGACCTCAATGTATCTTTTTAAAGGCAGCTCCTTTTTATAGGGCACCTGGCCAGCTCAGTCAGTAACACTTGTGACCCTGGATCTCAAAGTTGTAAATGTGAACCCTACCTTGGGTGTAGAGATTACTTAAATTAAAAACAAAACAAAACAAAACTCTGCTCCTTTTAGACGAAACATTCCTCCCTAAAATGATTTCATCACCAAATCAAGGTGCTAAATATTCTTATCAATTCTAATGCTTTTTAGAAATTACAAGTAAGAAAAAGAGCTTTCAGAAATAGATGTATTCTAAGTATCAGCCCAATTAGTTGTTTTTATCAAAATTTAGTATTATGGGATCATGTCCTGTCTTCTTCACAAATGTGATAAAGTCTTCAGGGCTCAATCCCATGGTTGCAGCATTGGTCATTGGATGAAAGTACACCTTTTCATGTCCACCTTCCAAAAAAGCTGAATCCAGAACAAATTTCACATCTCCGTCATCACAGAAGAGTGCCAAAGGTGTGGCACAGCCTTGGCCAACTTTTAGTTTTTCTAGCATGGCTGTTTCATCAGCAAACCGAAGATTTCCACTCCCAACACCTAATTGCTTGGCAAGATCATTTAAATTAATTTGTCTATCATGAAGAACTGTCACCAGCCAATAGCTTTTTTTCTTCTTGTCTTTAAGAAATAAGTTCTTACTGTGTGCTCCTTTCAAATGCTGGACATGAGGCATCATTTCTTCAACTGTAAACACCTGTAAAAAATAAAATGAAAACTTCAAAAATATGCATGTACACATACTCTGCTTGCTAGGTGAAAACAGCAAGGTTAGGGAGCACCCAATGCCGTGGATGTCACTGGTAGGGACCCATTCCCAGCCCATTATGAAATAACAACACCTTGCCATTTCAATCCCTCATCTGGAGACCTCTTGGGCCAGTTATCTTTTACAATGTGCTGGCCAAGCACTCCTACTCTTAAAGTGTTTTTTTTTGTTTTGTTTTCTTTAAACTTTTGGTACTGAGAATCTATAGCAACCCAGATTCCTATTCCTTAGCATTCCATTACATCCAAACCAGGTAACAACCTCCACTTTACAAATATATAACCACAATAAGGGTGAGATCATGGGCAGGGAACCAGACCTGGACTAGTAACATCAGAAGAGTGGCAATATGCACAGGTAAGGAAGAGGGAGAGTAAGTACTATATAGGAGGGAAGAAGGTCAGAGAAAATGATACCGTTTTGATGTTAAATTGGTGAAGTTGAAGATTTTTAAGGTATTTGCCTACCCTTTGAAGATCACCATGTTTAACTACGATCATTAGCTGTTACCCTCAAGCTATGTCCCTATGCTCCTGCGCCATTCAAGTTACACTGGCTCCGTGAAATGTTTGCAAATCCTCACGTCAAAAAACGAAATCATGTTCATTTCCAAACTTTCTAAGGTTGGTGTCCTGTTATATGCACGATGTCTGGATACATCGATGACTCTACAGAGACGGTTTACTGCCTGATATCTACACCATAAAAACACACGGACCCAGCTTTACACACCAGTTTAACATGAAGTTCTCAAAATGAAATGTGACCAAATAGCTCCAAGAGGAAAACGTTAAGTTTTCTCACAGTAACAAGACCGTCCCGAAAGGCTTTTGATACTCCTACCGGGTCCCTTTTGCGCTCTGGATCCGGGAAACGTCCTAGAACCGACATTTCTGCGGCACCTTACCGCTGGGGCCTCTGGTCTTCACCACCCTGCCCGAGAGCCGCCGCAGCGGAACCCACCCCTCCGGCAGGGCTGTCCCCGCAGAAGCGCCTTACCTCCGGGTGCTCCACAACCTCAGTATGGATGGCCAGGGCGCCGAGCCACTGCTCCAGCTCTGCCCGCAATTCCTTACCCGCCATGCTGCCGTCGTGGCCAGGAAGAGACGGGACGGAGAAGCGGTGAAATGGGCGTGGCCTCCTGAGCGGCTGGCCGAATGGAGGCTAGGGCGGAAGTACCAGGAGCGAACAGGGGGCTGCAGAAATCCAGTGCAGTTCCTTCCGGAGGGCCCAAGCAGTCGGCGCGCGCTCCTTCCTACCTCTTCCCGGACCGCCGCCGCCTCTGTGGATGTGGTCTGCAGGGATTCCCTGGCGGGAAGAGCCTGAGGCTTTCTCTATCCCGAGTTCCACAGGAGGAAGGCATGTGCCTTCCCTAGTCCCGCTTCAGGTTCTCTAGGCTTAGCATAATTTCCATTTAAACAGAATCAGGGCCACCGAAGTTAAGCGTAGGGAGTGTTGGAGAAGGTTGTGGAGAGGATGTGACCACGGGTAATCCCCAGGCAGAGAAGCTCCCTTTCCCCTGTCCTTGAAATGTATCTTCTGTCCCTGTTCCTGTACCCGCAGCCACTTGAAGGACATTACCTTGACAGCGTAATGTGATACTGCAAGCATCAGGACAGTTTTGTAGCTGAAATTCCCGTAAGGCCTCTGCATAAACTCAAGATTCTAGCAGGTGGGTGCAGAGATCGCTGTCTTGTGGCTGCCCAAGACAAGCCTCCTGTTGAATTCCGTTGCTTATTAAACTTGCCACTAGTCATTATAGAGTGGTCTGCCTTTTCTTCCAGACTCTTCTTGCCTTTACCTTGTCTGGGAAGGAGGGCAGTTTCAGATTTTACTGGAGGAGTTTAAGAGATTTTCGAATCAACAGGGAGAGTAGAGGGTGCCAAAATGCCTAGTCTTTTACGACTTTTCAACTTTTTTTTTTTTTTTTTTAAGAATTTTTTCATTTTTTGGGACGCTTGGGTGGCTCGGGGGTTTAAGCCTCTGCTTTCGATTTAGGGCATTGACCCCAGGGTCCTGGAATCGAGCCCCGCTGAGCAGAGTCCCTGATGCGGGGAGTCTGCTTCCCCCCCCCCCCCCTCTGCCTGCCTCTCTGACTACTTGTGATCTCTGTCAAATAAATAAATAAAATCTTTAAAAAAAAAAAGAATTTATTCATTTATTTGACTAAGAGCGAGAGAACACGAGCAGGGAGAGCAGGAGAGGGAGAAGCAGGCTTCCCAGCGAGCTGGAAGCCGGATGCGGGGCTTGATCCCAGGACCCTGGGATTATGACCTGAGCCGAAGGCAGATGCTTAACGACTGAGCCACCCAGGCGCCCCACGACTTTTCAACTTTTTTTTTTTTTAAAGATTTTATTTATTTGACAGAGAGAGAGAGAGATCACAAGTAGGCAGAGAGGCAGGCAGAGAGAGAGAGGGAAGCAGGCTCCCGGCTGAGCAGAGAGCCCGATGCGGGGCTCGATCCCAGGACCCTGAGATCATGACCCGAGCCGAAGGCAGAGGCTTTAACCCACTGAGCCACCCAGGCGCCCCCGACTTTTCAACTTTTAATTTATAAATTACAATTTCACATTTGACCTTTCCTGAAAATTACCTTTTGTTATTATTCATGTACAAATAATTGGTGGTGGCAACCACAACTTGCCTTTTTGGGAGGCAGTTTGCCTACCTCGGGGTGGGGTTTTCCATTATCCTGTGAAACCCTCAGTCACCACTTTTTTTCCCTAGGTTTCTTTCTAGAAATGAAATTAGAAAGCATTAGAATAGGAAAGAGCACCCATTTGAAGATAAGGCGTGTCCCAAATTGTCTTTAATTGTTGAAGGTGTTCAAGAAAACCCCAATCCAGTCATGGTGAACTGAGAGTAAACAAGGGAAAGAAGAATTGGAATCTGATTGTAACCAAGAAAGGTAAGTATGTCCAAAAGTAGGAAACATGAACTCCATCTGTCAGTTATTCAAACCATGAACTTTTGCATTCGGCATACCACACGCAGACACACACACACACACACACACTCCCCTATAGCTAATGCATCACAGTTCAGTTTCTCAAATCCTTCCACTTCTCACCACCTCCATCACCCCAGCCCAAACTACAACCATTTCCCCACTTGGCTAACACTATTGTTCTCTTAATTTTAGTCCACCTGTGGTGGGGTGACCACGTGTCCTGTTCCAAGCAAGTCTTACAACCAAAGATATTTATTATAAAATGAAATTAAATCTGTCTATGGTAAAAGCACTTAAAATTGCTGTTTAAAAACTATCTTAACCTAGATTTAATGCACTATTTATCAAGCATTTGTGTCAACATTGTATTAAATAGAAAAGAAATGCTATCTATCCTTGGTGTAGTCGTCTTCAAGGCAAATACAATCTCAAATTTATACTGCAAACAACATGAAACAGATTAAATTCAAAATGATTAGCATGAACTTGAGGAACTAGATATTTAGCCATAGAACTTGAATTAAAAAAAATACATATATATAGAAATCTCAATTCTAGGAGAGAGGTAGCATCTGAAAATATAGTTTATTGAATTGTTTTACAAACAGGACAAGACGTAATAAGTTTTGTGGCATTTATATAAGAACGTATTGAGGGAAAGACTCGTTATTTTTAGGAAGAGTATGGATATTTGACAGAAAAGGACAGAGTCTGGAAAAAAAAGGAGCTGGAGAATGGAGTTACGCCAGGATCCATGAAACTAGGGACACTCATCTAAGTTTGCTCAAAGTAAAAGAAACAGTTACAACTGTAGCCTACGTAGCAAAAGAAATAAAAAGGCCAAGATATTTATCAACATCATGGGGATTGGGCATCCTGGCATTTATTAGATGAAGAATGTTAGAAATCCCCATTACCGAGTGAAACAAAGGGCAATTCCAGAACAGGTAAATTGAAAGCTACCCTGGAAAGCTGTAAATATCCCAAACAAGTGAAACAATAGGGGAAAGTGCTTGCTGCAGTCTATGTCTCTTCAACTTATCTTTTGGAACATCTCTATGTGCCAAGCTTTCTGCCCTCAAAGACTTTAAAATCTAGCAGAGGGGACTGAAGCATTCATAGAAGGTAAGTCCAAGAAAATGTGACTAGTGCCACAATAGTGGCATGATGCGGATGCTTTAGGAGCCCAGAGGAAGGGTGCTAAGACTGGGTTGGTGCACCAAGGAAAGCATTAAGGGAAGATGGCACCAGTTTGAAGAATAAGTAGGACACTGCCAGGGGAAAAAAGAAAAAAGGACTCCAGCTGAGGAAACCTGGGGAGTTGAGGGATGGAGGATGGAGGTGAAAAAGCATGGTATGTCTTGGGGCAGTATGATTTGGTGTGACAGTAGAGCAGAATGAGAGGCCCATCAGCAGAAGACAAGGCTAGAAGTAGGCACAAAGAATTGTACCTGCTACACTAAGGAAAGGGAATGTCCCACCATCAAGGGCCATGTTAAATAAATTAGGCGACAACTTCCTAGGGAATTCTGCATTCTCAATCATGCTCTCAATATTTGAAAATACACGGAAGCACAATTCAGTAAATTGAGAAAATGAATTATAGGAGAGGATAGACAACACAGCCCCAATTTTGCTTCAAAGTACACATAGCTTTATAACAGTGTAACTTTAAAAAAAAAAAAAACCCACCTAATTAGTATTAGCATCTTTCCCTAATCCTGCTCCACAAAAACCGGCTTCTAAAGGCCTATGGAAGAGGATTCTTCCCAGGTCGGGAGAAGATGGAGGTTGGGTCCTAGAATAAGAAAGGAGAAAGCAGCTGGATCTAGGAGGAAATTGAAGTTTCCTCAGAGTCAGAAAAGCAGGTGAGGACTGGAGTGGAAAGGACGGGAGAGTAGAGAAGAGTCCCTTTCTTGGCACTTTGTCCAGCCAGTGGGTAGCAAGATGGGAACCTCCTGTCAGTGGCAGGCAGTCTCCCTGGGGCGGCATTGCCTAAGCAGGTGAGACACAAGTATATCTGAACATCACTGCTCAATGAGGAGCCATGACAAAAAAGACAATAACCCCATAGTCCAGTTCCCTGGCTCCTCCCAAGTCTCAGTTTCCTGGATGATTCTGTGGAGTAGGGAGGAAATCTTAGCGATAGCCTCAGGTTAATGTTCCTTGCAGCTCCAACATGTGGGGACACGGGCCATTTTATATTCAACTCAAAATATGATTGAAGATCAGCTATGGACTAAAGGGAAAGTGGTGAGCAAAACCAAGCAGAGACCCTGCCCTTGTGAAGCAAATAGTATATTGCAGGAGACAGATATTAATTAGTCAAATAATCACAGAAACAAATGTTAAATTGTGTGGGTAGCAAGCGCTAACAAGGACACATAGGCAATGCTAGGAAAGTCCATAATAAGAGAATTTCACCTCGTCTGGGGGAAGGAGGAGTGGGTCAAGGAAGGTATTTCTGAGGAAGTAAAGCAATGAAATCTGAAAGATGAGTGGGAATGAAGAGGGCAGAGAGAGGAGAAGAGTAAGCCAGCCAGAGGAAACAGTATGACGCTGTGTGCAAAGGTGAGAAGAAGCAAATCAGGGAAGAGGCATTGAAAGATGGTCAGTGTCAGGGCGGCTGGGTGGCTAAGTCAGTTAAGTGTCTGCCTTAGGCTCAGGTCATGATCCCAGAGTTCTGGGATCAAGCTCCACGTCGGGCTCCCCGCTGTGTGGGAAACCTGCTTCTCCCTCTCCCACTCCCCCCTGCCTGTGTTCCCTCTCTTACTATCTCTCTGTCACACAGATAAATAAAATCTTAAAAAAAAAAAAAAAAAAAAGGTCAGTGTTATTGGCATCCAACAAGCAAGGGGAGTGGGGTCATGGCTCCAGTTCCCACACACTAGACCTGGTAACTAAAATTCTCACCTGCTAAAAATACATTTCTCAAAGTGGTTATCTCTGGCTAATTTTCTTTGTATTTTCTATCTTCCAAAAATTTCTATGTTTCTATGTATTTTTATAATGGAGGGGGGAATCAATAAGTTATTAAAAATAAAGAAATATAAACCTCGTCTCCACAAATAAGACAGATCACATGAGGGTATTTTCAACAAAGACTTCAAAAGGGAAGAAAGTTAAAATGTAAACAAAATTAATAAGTGAGCAGACTGAATTTAATT